ATGGCGCCCAAGCGGTACAAACGCTCCAAAGTTTGGTTATACTTCACAAGAAAAGACGACAACAGGGCGACTTGCAATACTTGCAACGTGGATATTTCCTCAAAGGGAGGAAATACTTCCAACATGCAAAAACATTTGCGCACACAGCATGCGATAACGATTTCTGAATGTCGCGTTTTCGATGCGCTCCGGACGAACGTCACTGAATCCTTTTTTTCCAAATGAGAATCGATAAGAGAATCGATAAAGAACCGAATCGTTAAGCGGAATCGAAAATGGAATCGGAATCGGAAAAATCGCATCGATTCCCATCCCTACTCGTTGCACAGAGAAAGGCAGGGGAAGGAGCGGCCGAGCGCAAGACCAGATATCTGTTTATCGAACACTTGTGGGAGTACCTTCCACTTACACACGAATACACAAACACACTCTCAGAGTGAGGCGCTGAGACAGCGTGATTAATGGAGGCTCATTCCGTGCCATTAATCTTCTACCTCAACCGCCAGGACTTTTTCGCATTTGTGCCGCATGGTTAGCCAGTTCCCCCCCCCCCCCCCCCCTCCTTAATAAATAGGGGCCCGACCCTCCACACCTGCACCGCATCTCACATGGACGTTTTCGGTAATAGGCCCGCGTCGTTACGGCACTTCAGAACGGGCGCAGCTGTGGCGCCGTCCTGCGGCGCGGACCGTTCCGACGGTGCGGACGGAGCGGTACACTTACTCGCGTTGAACCCCACTGTGTGTGTACCGTGAGGGCGTGCGCCCAAACCGACCGGCGGGTTGGTTAAGCATGGCCTAGTGTGCTGATAGGAGCAGCGAGAGCTAATTTTGATTATGCTGTGGAAGTCCTGGAGGCCAGGGCTTCCCATTAGCATTCACCCAGTGTGTGTGTGTGTGTGTGTGTGTGGGGGGGGGGGGGTTTTGATAATTGATGTCTCATCTGGCGATGGACCTGGGGCCCGGGGCAGCCTGCTGGGTAAAAAAGGGCTAACTCCCCTACACAGTCCCAAAACATGAATTATGTTGGCAGCTAGCGATGTCCACTTCCATGAGAAGAGCCTCGGCAAACTTGAATGCTTTTGCGCATGCGTGTATAGGTCCTATGGGTGTGTGTGTGTGTTTTCAGTTGATTACTTTTAACACTCATAGATAACGTGTGTCTAAAAACACGAGCGCAAACCCCTGCGGGTGGTGGCAGTTGGGAGGGCGGAGGTTGCAAAATGGAAATGCGTCGTCAGGGTCCACCGACACACCGCTGTCACCAGCAGCCGGCGCTCAGCCCGGAGACATTCCTGCCTCTCATCTGGTCGTGACTGTTTTTCTTATAGACACACTCCCACACCCCCCCCCCCCCCCCCCCCTGCACCCATACACCCCCCCCTGCACCCTCACACCCCCCCTGCACCCCTACACCCCCACACCCCCCCTTCACCCCTACACACCTACACACCCCCACCTCTGCACAAATCAAAATGCCAATCATCAATCAGGGAGTCACTCACCATTCATCCTTGCATAATTATGTATATTGGATTGTATTGTTGTTGTTGTTGTTGTTGGTAGCAGCGTACAAGCAAAAGAAAAAAGAGGTACACAAACACAAACACACATTAGCATTCGTCACAAAGTTAAAGTCAAATGTCGCGGTTTACTTTCTGGATTGTATTTTGCGATTAGGAAGTAGGAAGTAGTTTCCTTTCTTGGTAAAAAAGACATTTGGTTTTAAGTACATTATTTGTTATTCCGAGTTCATGTGTAAAGTCAAATATATAGTTCAGAGAAAGTCTTTAAGCAAATCGAAGCAGATTCAAGAAAACACAGCTTTATCAGAGGGCAGAGCTTTGACATTTGGCCTTTTCACATTTAACTCGATTTTATATACATGTATATTTTATAGTGCAAATGAGTAAGAAAGAGCTTCATCTGCAGGCATGCTTTATTGATATTCTCCCCCCTTTTTGTCTCCTTGCCTTGAACTAAATAAATGTTGCTGGTTATTTTACTCCACTTCTACCCTTGGGTCATTTTAAGAGTTAGCTATGACTAACCTTCAGACGTTGGCTCACTAAAATGAAGGTTATATTTGTAGCTTGATGCTACGTGGCTTTGGTGTATTTCAAAGCAGCTTGTTCATTTCACGCTGCATCCCAAGATAGTTATCTAAACCAAGGACATATGCAGTTGCAGATAGTGACTTGGAATGGAAAGACTACATACTACTAATAGTAAATAATAACATTTTCAGTGCAACGGTTTGGTTTGTGCTGAACAGTGAAAAAAGAAAAAAACGCAGTTCAAAACTATGCAGAATAATTACACGTTTGTTGCACTTGGTGACTAACACTGCCATTCTCAAGTGCTGCCCCTGAACCACGGCTCCTGGGAGCTCACTATCGGCAGTGTTAGATAATCAAATTAGGCAGAAAGAAAACTGAAGTGGTTACGGTCGTCTGGGTATCCGCTTGCGTACGTGAGCAACATCTAGACCTCCATAGTTTGAATCCCCATTCAACACCAGGGCTGTATCTCACACAGCAGTGATCGGTTGTTCAATGAGTTTGGCTTGGACATCACGACACCGCCAAAAAAGTTGTGGCGCTGGATGCGTCCTGTGATTGATGATCACCAACGGGAACACTCGGTTTGTGGTCGCCCACATTGCGATCATCACTCAATTCTTGTGATGTGTACCCATGGATGGAAGTATTGATTTCAGGTTTGAGTTTACATTTTTACCCACTGGTGGTTTAGCACCACAGAGTCTTGTTATTGTCTAGGGATGACCTGAGTAAGAAAAAGTGCTAAATATAGGATGTGTAAACCCACATATGCATATGTGCTTCACATTTTTACGTCGATTTTGTTGTTTAACTTTGTTTTGTTTTTTTTACTTGTAACAGCACAGAGCTTTTTTCTACTGAAAATTGCAGGAAACGCACTCAATTTTCAAATGTGGCACCTTGGGCTTTAGTTTCCATCAGTAATTTGAAAACCTCCATCTTGGAGCTGTGTGTGTGAGACTCTGAAATGACTGTGTACACCACTGAGCTCTGCCAGAAAGGGAGAAAACCAACCTCGAATCTGACTAACGTAATGGAGTAGTTTCCACTGTTTTGGATGAATTAGCGCACTAAAGTCTATTCTATCATTTCGGGTTTGTTTTCTACAAACGTAAGGCTGTGTGAGAACCACTCAACATTGTATTCATTTTCAACCTGAACCAGCCACCAACCACACACACAAGTGTAGAGAGCAATACAGAGGGACACATCATTTTGTTATTACTTTATCCAGGAAATGATAAGCGGAAACGGGCTCTGGTGTGGGAGATAACTGTGGTTTACTAAGTGAGGGACTGGGAGAAGAACAAATGGACTTTGTGTATTTCAAGAGCCGTACAACCCAGCGTCCCTCCCTCCCTCCCTCCCTCCCTCCCTCCCTGCCCTCCCTCCCCTAGCCTCCATCCCCTTCCCTCCCCCTCCCTCCCCTAGCCTCCCTCCCTGCCCCTCCCTCACCTAACCCCCATCCCCTCCCCTCCCTCACCTAGCCTCCATCCCCTTCCCTCCCCCTCCCTCACCTAGCCTCCATCCCCTTCCCTCCCCCTCCCTCCCCTAGCCCCCTCCCTGCCCCTCCCACACCTAACCCCCATCCCCTCCCCTCCCTCACCTAGCCTCCATCCCCTTCCCTCCCCCTCCCTCCCTGCCCCTCCCTCACCTAACCCCCATCCCCTCCCCTCCCTCACCTAGACTCCATCCCCTTCCCTCCCCCTCCCTCCCCTAGCCCCCTCCCTGCCCCTCCCACACCTAACCCCCCATCCCCTCCCCTCCCTCACCTAGCCTCCATCCCCTTCCCTCCCCCTCCCTCCCCTAGCCTCCCTCCCTGCCCCTCCCTCACCTAACCTCCATCCCCTCCCTCACCTAGCCTCCATCCCCTTCCCTCCCCCTCCCTCACCTAACCTCCATCCCCTCCCCTTCCCTCCCCCCCCTCCCCCTCCCGAGTGTACCTAGGGGCAGAAGGATGAAACCCAACAGGAAATAGACCTTGACATCTACTTGTGCCTCAGGCCCAATAAGGTCTGCAGTGCAATGAGCCATGCATAATTAACACGGAATATGATTGGAAGTAAATGCAAATCTACATGCTGCCAATTCTATGTGAATTCGAAGTAGTGTACGCCACACACACACACACACACACACACACAGTGTGGTAGGGGAAAATAAATATTGATGTGAGGCTATAGGCCTCCAGATATTTTATAGTACCAGTCCCAGTGGTTCTCCATAATTGGGAGTTGATAAAAGCACAATCTTAGTATAATTGGACAAATTCAGAAGCTGGCGATTTAATGTGAGGTTAAACGGCGGCGAGGCGTCACTGTAACGGCGGTTTCAATACAATATGACAGAAACGTCACACCGTGTGTGCCAACGTCACTAGGTGCATCTCGCCTCCAGCGACACGCCACGTCCTTATTATCATGGGCAGCTATAACACCTTATGCAAGATTAATCACACAGTTTAACAGCCAACAGGCCGTGAAATTGAAGCGCTGAACAGGAGATGATTCTTTACATAGGGTTTAAACGAATAAATAAATATCCTGCATCTCGCTCTACACCTGATACCTGTGTGTGAGTGTGTGTGCGTGTGTGTGTGTGTGTGTGTGTGTGTGTATGTGTGTGTGTGTGTGTGTGTGGCCAGCGAACACTGGGTTGCAAGATCGATGAGACAGACAGGGGTGATGTAACGTGTCGGAAATTGGTATTATTAATTCTAATATTAGCAGTAATATTGTTGTTACAGCCAATCAACCCCATTTAGTTTCTTCTCCACATATTGCGCCGACTGCTAATCCAATAATATGCTAGAAGACAAAGGCAGTATATTTCTATTTGTTCGTGACACAAAATCAACAGATATACACACAGACTCAAACATACATCACTGCGGATGGAACAAGGTCAAGGGACAAGATAAGGTGGCAGGACAGTGAGGTGTCTCCCCAGTGGGGATCGAACCCCCAACCCTCAAAGTGTTAATGTCATGCTCTATCAGCTGAGCCAGAAAGGACCAGCTGCTCCTTAATGACATGCCTCCAAATCACTCGCTTTGGATGAAAGCGTCTGCTATGACTGGGTAAAAGCCTCTGCTGTGATGACTATTTACTATTTAATAGTAAAATAGTAAATATAAAGTCTGATTCCTCTCAGCTCAGATATAAGAATATCGCTTCATATTGGTTCACATTCATATTGCCATGAACAATACATGATGAAGTGAAGTCTGGGTAGATGGTGAATACTCCCCCTCTATTTCACAAGATTATCGCAGACACCAGGATCCCCGGCGAGAAGCCGTGTTAGAGGCGGTCATCTCTCAATAAGTCAAGACATCGAAGTCATCAAAATCTCATCGCTCCGTCCAAGACATGTGTAATGGAGGTAAACCAAGAGACGCCCGGTTCATCCTGGCGTCATTCTGTCCCTCATCACCGAGCCGTCCCACACTCTCACCCGCTCCTCCCCCCCATCCTTTCCTTTACTCTTTATTTAGCTTACATACACTGGGAGATACATACACTGCCATCTTGATCCCCCCCTCCCCCTTCTATCTGTATTTACTCCAGTTTCTATTTAACCTCACACCTCTTTTTTTTTAAATGCTGTCGATGCTTTTATCTAATTTATTACCTACTGGCCTTGCAGCCGTGCAATTACTCAAAAACACTGATTCATTGGCAGTGCCTTACTGCCGTCGGGGTATCCCGTAATGAGTCCCCATGTTCAACAAACAAACAAACAAAACCTCACAATCACCAGGTTAATCCCTCTCCCTGCTCCTTTCTCAGGACACCCACATCTGGTCATTTAACCGCTCTATCCCATATCTCCCAACCTGCCTGTGGTCCTCCTCCTCCTCCTCCTCCTCCTCCTCCTCCTCCTCCTCCTCCTCCTCTTTATCCCCCTCTCCCTCAGCACAACACAGGTCCACTAGCCGAGGCCAGTGGCTTCCCTCCCCCTGGGGTCCTAATGGCTGATGGAGATGTTCTGGGAAGGAGGCAAGGTGGGCATCTGGCCTATCTTCACTCTCTCCCATCATCACATTCGCGTGGCCACAGTCACATCTGCGTCGCCATGGCGACACTCACAAGGTGACTAATGACTATTCATCAGCGGTGCCGGCTGATTGGGCAAGCCTGCGAGGGCGGCGCATTACATATTCATCAAGGTGACGCGTGTCTCTTCGCTCTGCCTCAATAAGACCTCAGGATAATGAAGGAGTTCTCCTCCCGCTCTCGGCGTTGGCTTTTTTCACTTCTTGTTTTAACCTTGTCCCATCTATCCTTGTCCCATCTCTTCTCTCTAATCACTGGTCCACTCTTGATACCTCACCTGAACCCCCCACCGGTGGCCACCTGCCCTTCACCCCCCCCTCCCCTTCAATCATCCCATTTGAACTAGCGTATCCTCTGCTTACCCTCACTTTATTGGCCTTTCTCTGTAATTCTCGTAACCACTCCGATGATTTATGAATGTGAACATTTGAAATGAGCGCTCTTTCTTTCTTTCTTTCTTTCAGTCTCAACCCATGTTGCGTCCTTCTGAAAAACCTATAAATAATAGAAAAGCGCTGAAACACACACAGCTTTCTGTGTGTAAACAAAAGACACAAAAGACACACAGATCTTTTGGGACACAAGTTTCCTCTATAGAGGATTCAAGTCAGCTGTATAAATCCATATCGTCTAAGCACAGGACGCCACTGGCTCTATATGGCCGTATCTCTAATGTAATCATTGTGGATCCATTGTAGAAGTGACCTCTGCATATTATTATATAATGGGAGACACACACACAGTGCAGAGGATATATTCTCCCATAGTCCTCACGACACACAGCCTTGAGCCATATGGTGGCTTCAGTCCATGGAGACCCTTACTCAATGCATCAGAGAAGCTAGAGAAATAAAATGAAATCATGTGTTGTTTGTTGTATATACATATTTATTTGATCTTGCATAACCAACATTCAATTAAAGGGACGTTACACTAATTTTGGACATTTTAATGGTCTCCAAGCTGCCTAACAAAAAAAAAAAAACTGCTTATAAATGCGTTCTGTGGATCAAAATACGGCTATTTCCATTCCCCAGAATATCCTGGTAATTGGCAAATGCATTTCCCCCCGGTTACCGGGTTTTCAAAAAACTACAACAGCTTTCTCCGGCAAAATCCCACTCCCTCGCCCCTCCCCTCCCGGCAAAATCACATCAACCAATCAGCTTTGAGTTTGGCTCCATGAGTTTCTTGCCTTGTTGTAGCGGGAGAGAAGAGCTACTTGAGATTACAATGGCTGCCAGCAATGATCTCAAGCAGATGAAATGAACATCGATAACTTCAGCCAAGTATTACTGAGTGGAACAAATGATAGATATTTCTTTGAGGCCCGGATACACTGAAGAAGAAATTGTACAGCGGAGACAGCAGCGGACAAATGCGGTTTTTGCTGCCACTACCAAAAATAACGCAGACCCGCAGATCACTGAAATCACTGGTGTGTTTTGTAGTAATTGTACGGCAATGCCAACTGACTTTGAGAGTGCTTGCTGCAATGAAAGCAACCCGGCGCAATCACTGTTATCCACTGTCGATGCGTGCTGGAGACTTTCTTCAGCCAAAACCAGCGTCTGGACTGCGTCTGCTAGTTTTAGCTTTGCTATCAGACCATATACCCCGTTAATTTGTCAATACAAGTTATGTCGCTTGTGGACTTGAGTGCCAAGTGCAGGTATCTAAACCGATCTGAACTCATTTTCTTTCAGACAGTAGCGCTTGGCTGCTTTCGCGTTGGAGTGGCTCCTCAGAGGAGATACGTCTGTTCTCCTATGTCTAGGGAGACGTAGGAGAACAGTGTTGCCTGCCTGTGGAGTGGGTAGTAGTCGCAATCGAAACCCATCTGCCCGGTACCAGGGATTCATAGAGGTTGACCAAGCCCTTGGGGAACTGTGTGATCATTTACATCGGGGTGAAGAAACTAGCGGTGACCAGTAGTGAGTGATAGTTCAGACTAGTAGACTAGTCACCTACATTATTATTATTATCACTATTATAAATGTAATAAATGTTATCAAGCACTTATCTAACATTTGCAATAAGCTTATAATACAGTGACAGCACCTATGTTGCATTGATAAGAATACAAATGAACTTCTATGTCTTTATTTGAAATGCCAACATTGCAATAAATTAAAAGCTAAAGTGGCGAGGCAAGTACAATCCTTGGTCCTTCATTAGGGAAACGTTGACCTGAAAGCTGCAACAGCTGCTTTGGTATTGGAGCAATGTTCCTTGTAAGGACCGGTTGAGGGAGATGGGATTATGGGTCTCTGTACATCACAGCAGGGTACCAGTAAAAACTTTGTTTACACCGTCGTGACGCCGCTGTGAACTACTGTGTGTCTATTACTAGACCCTTTTCTCGGCTGCGTTTCACTAGTAGATGTGGATGGTGTGGTTAGGTGGTAAGGTAGCGAAGAAATATAACGCTACTGTAACATTCACTGCAACACTGCAAGACCAACCGCAATAATGACAATCATTATTTAATCGACTAATGCTAAAACTACAGAGTAGGGTAAGAGCATTAGCTCGTTAAAACTCTCCCCGAACCCGCAGACGTATACGGTTGTTCACGCGTGTTTGTTTGTTTTTCAGGTACATTTCGAAAGCGTTGGACACTATGATCACACCATGATGACACTGTGAGTTAATAAAAATGTGGCTGTGCCAGTGGACTGTCCCTTTAAGATAAGGACATTTTGTCTGGTGATGGCGAGGTGTTGTATCTGCGGGCAAAGTGTTTATTGCGGCGATAGCAACAGCAAAGGAAGGTTGTGCATCTGCTTATTTTTGGTCAAGTTCGGCTGACGCAGCCCCCCACGCCAACTTCCGACGATACTAAAAGTGTCGGAGTGCAGTTCAGCCGCCATATGCGTGGTCTTCGCAAAATAACAACACCCAGAAGACCGATCCAAAATGTGCTACGTCCTTGTTATGCAAAGCTATTCAAGGTGATCAGTTTTAGGTCTTGGGGCGGGCAGATGAAAAACTCTCTGTAGTCCTGTTTGAGATACACAAAATAAAATGAATGAACAAATCACCAGATTTTTTAAATAGGAAATAGATGGGCAATATTTTTAGACATGAGACATTATTCAAAATCATAGTTGTACAAAATTGCCTTTTTAAGAGGAAGTCATTGAATACTGCCTTTCTTTGACATTAACCAGCGCTGTTATTTATATCCAACTGACACATGAAACACATTGTACATGCAATCACTCAGGCGCTTTGAGAACAGAGGCAGAAACAGAACAGATGCATTTATATAAAGATGGCAACGTGAACGGGCTGTGATTCAGCCTTAACCAGGGTGGCCACCGGCTACAAGAAAACATAGCATACATAATAACCGTGCGGCAAATGTATGCAGTAATCAAAAGTATCACTCATTGTTTTCCCCATTTCATACATTATTCATCAGAATAACAAATCAAACAAGGAATCAATGTAGCGGTGGGGAATAACCAACCGATTAATTTCATCTAACTTATTGTTAAGATTGAGCTGATCAATACGTTTATTTGATGCTCCTGTGTACTTCGTGCCTCACTGTGATGACTCACACACACAAACAAGACTATTTCATTGCGGTCTGTTCTCCTTTTTATTTTCCCAGAGTGATGTGTATGTGTGTGTGTGTGTGTGTGTGTGTATGTGTGTGTGTGTGTGTGTGTGTGTGTGTGTGCACAAGTGTGTGTATTTGTGTGTCATCATTGCTGCACTTCATCTTGGGGTTTCTAGCCAATTAAATCTCTCGTCTTGTGTGGGTGAGGGGATGTGTTTTCTGATGGTTTGGTTTAAACGCTCTCCTTCTTGATAAGAAGTAGAAGAGTTTATTTATAAATGTCTGCCAACCTTTCAACACCCTGGACAGTTTTCTATGCTGCCCTTCCATGTGGCTACGTAGCACGTAGCTGTTGAGGCTGGGTAATAATAATGTGTATAGTCCC